AAGCTTTGTCTCTGTTAAAATTAGTCCACAAAGTATCTCCAGTACTTCTGCTTGTTGGTCATGTTTAGTCACAATGAACTTGTGTTTGATCTGGACAGATCTTTTTGAGAATTCTTGTCTGACATTTGTGGTGCGACCAAAGAACCTTTATATCTACAGTTTTTAATCATCATGTGGGGTCTCTCTTAGGTTTTTAAAATCACTCATCAACTGTAAAAGCTTGCATTGTGAATCAGATACTTTGTTGAATTTTTTTTCCCACTTATCTATGGTCTACACCTGCTTATTCTTGCAGGTTATGTCTAAAGAAAATAATTATTTAAATGCATCTACTAAACAGTTCAATGAAAAAAAAAAATTATAATCTGAATCCTTTGACAGTTACTGTCATATAGGATCAGGGTGTAGCCTACCGAGTGGTGGCATTATGGCATGATATGAGCAGAAAATTATTCATATATTCAAAAGCTGTGACTTACTCATCTCCAATCATTGTGTATTATCTTTTCTCCCTCATTCTCGTGTTTCTCTTTTTCTCTCCCTTATGACATTGTGAAAGGATTTTTGACACTTATTTTTTTTTTTTCGCAGTCACCAACCAGGACACACTTCGCTGCCCACGCAACGTATTACAAATTCCCCATATTGTACATTTGAAATATGTTGTCATTCCCTTGCCTTTAAATGCTGCTTTTTTTTCCAGACTGTGGATAACCTGACATGAAAAACTGATTGATGCAACGTTAAATATTAACTTCACCCAGAGTTGGAGGCATTTCAGAAGATTTGGCACATAAATGTGAACTTGAGAAAGTCACGGATATCTAACAAGTTCATACTACTTTAACACATAATATCAACAATACCAAAGTAAACATACTGTAGCTGGTATGATGAGCAAGTTTTGCTAAATTACAACAAAATTAAATGCAACATACACCTTGCATTGTCTGTTGATAGATAATTTTAGACATTTGCAATCCTCTGGGTTATGTCCTTTTTATGTTAATAAGAAACAATGCAAACAAGTTGATGATTCATCCTATGCCATTTGTTGGTTGATTTTGTCAGTGTAAGTTTTAGCTGTTCTGGATCAAAGGTAAAAAAGCCAAGAAAATCTGTCAGATATTCTCACTACTTTGTCATTTTTATCCAGTTTATTGTCCTGTAGTCTCTGCAACCCAATGGCTTCATCCCAGAGGTCTGTTTCATTTGTGTTTCAGATAACCGTACGCTTTTTGAACTGTAAATTGCCTTGAGATGACATGTGTTGTGAATTTGGCACTATATAAATAAACTGAATTGAATTGAATTGAATTGCAACTCTGGTGCGGTTTTAGAATGGTTTTCAGAATAGTTTGTGATTCCCATCTGAATGTGAGAGAAAATCTGTGCTTTTGCACAGGTGCTAAAATGAGAGCTTTAGCAAAGGCCAAACACACTGGATTGAATCAAAAACACTAAAAGCTCTGTATGCTAAATGAGTATTTGTTTACGTTATAGTTTTTTGCCCACCAGCGTGTGTTTAATATTTTTTAAGACTACAGTATGGGTTAGGATTAGAATTCATTCGGGGATTACAATTTAGTGAGCCTTTAGGCAAAATCTGAAGCCATTCTATGGGACGGATAACAGCAAATAATGGACATTTCATTGGATGATAACATCCAAAGCGGCGGAAAAACACTTAGGCCTTTTCTCAATATGTGTACTTGTCCATTCTTATGTGCTTGTGAAACGTCATCGGCTTCAGCAATGGCACTGTTCATATTCGCAAGAACACAAGACCGAGTATGGACAAAGTCCCAGCCGACTTGTCCATTCTTAAAGATTGACAGCTGTCCCAGCATGCACCGGGGCAACAGCAGCTCCCAGTGGAGCGCCCACACAGCTCAGAGTATTCATTTAAAAGTTCTCTTTTCTATTGCCATGGTTCTACAAAAATTCGTTTTATGATAATTTAAGGTGAGAACATTATACTTTAAATCTTCACTAAATGGCCCATTTAATGATTTAGTGCATAATAATGAAAAAAAAAATGATGTTGAGAGGACTATGGCTAACAACGGACCTCCGAGGCTAACGGTAGCCAGGGCTAACATTAGCCTTTCTGCAGCAGAACTCTCTCAGCATAGCTATGTGTGAAGAACCACTCGCTCTGATGGCGATTTTTTTGTTTAATTTGGCAAATTGTTAATTTGATCTGTGTTTATCTGACTGTGTTACCTATTATTTCACCACTTAATGAAACAAGTCATGATTTATTATTATCTAGAGACTAAAAGGAGGTGAAAGGCAGCTAAATTTAAACCATCCAGTTCTTTCTAAATAAATTACTAAAGAGCCGGTGGAATTAAAATATGACTTTATAGGAAAACCAATAGATTATCTTTCTGGTGTTTTACAAACTTAAATCTATGATTTATTAACATTTGAAGATCCTAAATTGCTGTTTATGTTGTGAATTATTTACACTTATAGATAAAGATGAAAAAATTGAGAGACAAGGATGAGATTAGTCACCAAAAAAATCTGATGGTTTCCCAAATTCATTGAGGACAAAACAAACAATAGAGATAAAGGTTACAGAAGCATTTCCAGCCCTGATTGCTGGATGAATAGAAAACTGTGAAGAGCAAAGTCCAGGGAATAATAGGGTTACTAAAATTATTATTAATGGCATTTGGCTCTAAAATTAACTCTTGAGAAGAGTCTCTTTACTTGTAGCAGCAAAGAGTAAACTGCCCCTTGTGTTCTTGCTCACATTACTCATGAATCTACCATTTAAGGTAGATATGGCACTGTGCAGCATCCATGTGGGATTCCTGACACTCGTAAAAGCCTATCTTAGCAGGTAAGTAAATAGTGTGGTCAAGATTTTTATTGGCAGCAAGAAATAAACTGAGAATGAGAGTGAGAGAAGTGTCACCTCCCAGGGAGACAAAGAACAGAAGCAGGTTGCAGAGGGAGGCCAAAGAAATGCAATAACGAAGTAAGAAGGTACAGGTTCTCCTGCTGGAGAAATATGTTTAAGTTGGATGAGGACTTAAAAATGAAAGTGCAGGTCCTTCAAGCAAGATTTAAAAATACATTTTTTAAATGTTGCATTTTCTGTTTAATAGGTTACTCCGCATGTACATTCAGAAAACTGATA